ACTTGAATGTATATATATATATATATATGTGTGTGTGTGTAGTACTAACGTTTGTCAACAATATCGGCCCTAATTTAGTGTTTAAATAAGCCTAATATCGGGTTACGGGAATCAGCCATTGTCTTCAGGTGAGATAACGAAACTCTTTATTATGCGAAGTGACAGTCTCCACAACAATAGTAGCGCAGGCGATGCATTGATACCCAAATATTCGTCATAACCACAATGGCCATACTATAGTTGGCCAATAGGAATTCGCTGTAGTCTCCTAGTGGGATCAACATTCGTATCTCTTCATACCCTACTTTCACTTGAAGTGGACATGAACTCAACACTTGCAAACCAAGCGACTCTTCTAAGACCAACTTTTCTCCATATTTTCCCGTGCCATACATCTCGAAAGGATAGTGACGTCCCTGCACTGTTGTCAGTACACACACACACACGTTTCCCTCTAAATGAGAGCAAGCCTAACGGGGGGATTCAATGGCAAAACAGGCCTCCTATTCACTTTCTATTAGGTGGTATGATCGTCGGTGGCCGTGACAGCGTTGGAGATCATTCAGTCCTGGAGACAGTCGCAAAGATAGCAACCAAGAGGCATGCGAGGGCGGGTAAGAGACAATAGAGCCAAGAACAAGTGACGTTTGACGCTAAAGTTAAGGCCACTAAGAGGGCACAGAGTGTCTTTAAGGGTGGTACAGGCTAGAGTCACCGAGTGTGATCCTCGAACGGCCTAACTTGAGAACAGGTCACAAAGCCAAGCAGCAAAAGTTCAGTGTCACATTCACAATGATCTGTGCTGTACGTGTGTGCAGACCGACATTGACTCGTGTACTTGCCTCCAATGCATTAACCCTGCCCTGGAGACGGTTCGATTGTCAGTCTAAAAAATACTTTCTACTACAGGCTCCCCCGACCAGGCCAGGCTTCATCCGGCCCGACTCCGCGACCAACTAACCGCCTCCAGGACGCGGTGTTCGTGTCTCAAACAGTCTGTCGTCCAGGGCGCCTCTTCGTCCCGCCTCCACCTGTCCACGGGCCCTATCTACCGGTACACTTGTCTGTCCTGTCTCCAGACTTTCATGTCCGGCGGAGTTCATTCGGCCCGTGTTCTGCTGCTGTTTGCCGCCATGGTGACGGTATTCTGCTCATGTGCACGCCCAGTTGAACCCTCCAATCCCTGCGCTGCCAACTTTACGTCTGATTCTCTCTGTCGTTTTCTCTCTTTGTCTCTCTCCCTTTCTGTCGGGTGCACATGTGCACACCAACTGATCACGGCTCTTTAATTACCTGCACACACTGGCTCACATACACGTTTTTTCGTGTGGCTGTGGCGACAGGTGCCAGAGCATGCTTACTCCAACAACAGACTGCTACGTCTATTTCAATGCGTCACTTTGATCGGAAGCCTTTTCTACGATGCTCCTAGGCCCTGAGCCACTGTGTCCACCGGAACCACCAAAGATCTAATAACATTCATCGGATGTTGGCATTTCGAGCGCCTCTGCTCTGGCTCTAGGATAGAACCACAAGACCGAGCCCCGAAGGCCTTTTTGTTTACCTGGAAATGCCCGTTTAGCGCTTGACGACTTTTCGCCTCTCACTTGTCACTAGATTTTCCGTTCTTTCTATGACCTACTCTGCTGTTTTCGCCCTCATGCTCGTCTACACCTTCCGGAAATCTCAATCTTCAGCCATCCAATGCCAAGAAGTCACGCCGAGCCGTGCCTTCGATCCCGGATCTTTGCTTAATAAGTGACCAATCTCTGTAGCCGACACTGCGGCCAAGGCGGTTCCGAGCTGGCCCGCAACTCGGCTGGGCTGGTGGCAACATCGCGAATACACAAAGCCTCAAGCTAGCCGAGATACCCGAATTGTATTGTGTTAGTGTATGTTTATTCTAGTGGACAATTGTCTTTCATTAGATATCTTCTCTTCTATTATCACTCGTTATGGCGGATTAAAGATTAGTGTGATTTATTTTGCCTAGTGTTGTTGTTGAGGCAATTTTTTGCCTCTTGCTAGCCCGTTACCTTGGAGGTGAGAAGA